AGCTCTTTTCCAATTAATAGTTTCAATCAATAGTTTTAGTTTTTGCACTATAATCTGTATCTGGTTTATTTTTAATTTTGTTTACTAGATCTATCAGAACTTGAGTTTTTCTACCTTGTTTCATTATGATGTCTCCTGCAAAATGTTTTGTGGCTCACATACCCAGGCAGGACCTTTCTCTGTCTGATGCTTCTTACTGCTTGTCTGGCCTGATCCAGGACTCAGCTCCGGACCAGACAACCATAATTAGCTGGGATGAACGCTTGTGTCCATGCTGTGTGCTCTTGGATTCTGATACTGCTGCTGTCTGCTTCCTTGACTCACTGGAAACAATCATTAGAAATACTGTAACTAGGTGTTCATCTGTATGGCAGTAAGATTCTAGAACTTCATCAGCTTGGATTAAGAAAAGCAGGTCTTGCTTAAATTAGGCTTCTTTGAACAAGCAATAATAAAATTTAATATTAACTCAATGTGTGATATACCATATTTAGAATTTCTGAAGCTTTTGATTACAATTCTCTTGAAAGATTAAATTCTCAAAATGTAGGCTGTAGGCAATCAAAGATAAATCATAGGTAATACCTGGATTAAGAATCATTTCACAGACAGTAAACAAAAAGTATTGCTAAGGGATAAATACTAAAACTGGGGTGTGCTGTTATATAGTGGAAGGATTCAGGGAAAGAGTTTTTGTTAGGACTATTGCTCTTGCTAATTTATATCAATGATTTAGATTCTGGTAACGTCAGTAAAGAATCAAATTTGTAGATGATACCAAAATAGAAGGATTAACAAGCAGTGCAGAAGCCAAAAATGGAATTAGAAGAGACTAAGATGAAAATTCAGGATTTTACAAACACCTGGCAGATGACATTTAATGAAAACAAGTACAGGGCATTGCATGCAGAAAGGCTTATGAAAAAGACTTTGGTGTTAAAGAATACAAATCATTTTTGTCTACTATATACTACAGGGAAGCAATATGGAGAATACAGATAAAGTTAGAATGCTCAAAATGGGGTGGCTTTGAGACACAAGGAGACACAAGGAAAAACAGGGTATTATGAACAGAAATTAAGTGTAAATATCTATATAAACGGGAGAGTTTGGATAAGTAGTGGAAAAGTGGAAAATGATAAATAAAATTGAATACAATTTTTTACTACAATAGTAATACTGCTCAATCTACAATTCTGGTAATCAGGCTTTGATTACAATAAAAATTATTCACAAAACCTTGTCTGTCCTGCATCTCTTTCCTGACTTTTGACACTGACAGCACAAATTCATCTTTAAAGCACTGGAGAAAAAAATTCTTATACACATTGAAGAAACCAGCAAGTATAAATAAACAATTGCGTATGTATTAAGGACTCTTTATCTTCTCAGATTTGAAGCCAAAAAAAAGTTTTAGCAACATTTGATGCTATTTTTGAGAGGAGTTATACTTATTGGGCCATAATTTTGTGTGCTTCACTGATATTGGCAAGGTAAAATGAGTACTTAACTCATAGATTCAAAAGAAAAATATCCATTGAGACTTACAGCTGAAATAATGGGAATAATGTTTTAAAATGGACCTAAAGATGGTATCTTACACATTATATGATTTAACAGCAATATTGCTCAGAAGTTTTAAAAAAATGAATTTCATTTTGCATAACAGAATAACCAGAGCGTAAGTTACTTTACAGATACAATGACAGGGCACAAGTGGATCCTTTGCTCCTTTTCTTTAAGAAAGTGCATGCTGAAAGCACAGCACGGTAAAAATGAAATCAGTAGTACAGCCATGGGCTACAGGGCCTGCTCCATTTCCATGTCCCCACACTTCAGCACTAGGACAGTCCCATGTTGCTTGAATTAAATTTGTTTTGAGGGAAAAAGATCCCTTCTGGGGAAACAATTTAAATATAATGTGTGTACTAAAAAGATTATTATTCTTAACCCATGCAATTTTAACTTGAATTACAGTAATTGAAAATGCATGCCTTTAGAGGCAATACTGTAAGTAAGTAGGTCCCTTTCCAGGCCATAAAGGCACATTACTGGACACCCTTGATGTCTGAGCTAGCACGATTCCAATGCAATACTGTATATACTGAACACACTTAGCAAACTAATTTACACTACAGATTAAGAGAAAGAGTTTTGCCATTAAGCAGTTAAGTTTTTTTGTTGTTGTACCTGAACAGATGCTTATTGCACCTTTGCAGTATAATTAGTCCCTCCAGAATTCTGCAAACCTAAAATTTCATTTATTTTTTGCTGAGCTTATAAATGAGTGAAATGTTTCACTTTCTTGTACAAAGAAATGATAAGGTTAATACAAATTACTGGAACACCCCAGGATAATGCAACTAGCATTTGTTTATAGCTGTAACACATTCAGAAAACGTTTAATGTGAAATAGAGGCTTTGGACTCCAAAAGAGGCTTTGGACTCCAAATTAAAAGGACAGAGTCTCAAAGCTGGTGAGTGACACATTTGAATAAGGTGCTTCCCTCAGAGAGCTTCAATAAGTTCCCATAAGTACAAACAAAGTACCCTCCAGGTTGCCATTGGAAACGTAGATTTGTTCACAATTGACCTGACTCTGATTAAATTAACATGTACATGTATGAAAAAGAAAATGTGTATTTTGTTCACAGCATAGAGAGGATGAAAATTAACTCTGAAGTTTGATTTGTTTCTTGCAGTCACCTAAATTCTTTATTTGAGCAAAAAAAGCCTTTTATTAACATGTTTATCTTTTTTTAGAACAAATGTTTTTAATTCTTAGTTGACTCATTACTAGATGAGGCAATACAATCGGTAATTAAAGTAAATTTTACAATAAAGGTTTCTTTTCACCCAAAGAACAAGGCTTTGGTTTAGCGATGTCTTGATGCCAAAGAGGTGACATTTCTTCAGCTCTCCATATAACATGTGTCTATAAACGAAGGTTAAAAGGACAAAATACATCACAACCATCTACTGTATAAAACCCTGCTACGTTTTGAATGAAATGCCTTTGCATGCAATTTGATGAAGAGTGAGGACAGTGGAAGAGGGGTTGTTAGGACATTCATACAATACAAGGTGGCTCAGGATTCTACTTGATTCCTTCCTGACTTGATATATATAGTTATAATCTGCAAAAGAGAGTTCTGCATTTTCCTGCTCTTTTAATTTTTCTATTTTCTTCTTTATGTAATATACATAATTCTGCAGTGGCCTTCTATTGAAATATTAGATGCTGAGTTTTAAACTTTATGGGCGTGATGAAGTAATTATGATAATGACTCTATTAGACTTGATTGACTGGCCCAGTGTTTCATACTGGCAGCTCATGTATAGTTTACCTTGAGATATGATCATGTTGTAAACTAAAAACAGAATCATATTTTTTCACCCAAATGGAACCATTTTAATACCAGTCAAACTTTGCACACCATACAATATACAGTCTATACAGATGATAACAGAAAACATTAGTGGAAGCTTTCATGAAATTCTTGAAGGTTTTTTGAACAAAAACATGTTTAAGATGTCTGAAACTTGCAAAGCTTTGCGTATATATACATCTTGCTAACTGTATATTTTCTCTTTACTAACATCTTTATGTATATGCGTCTTTGCTTATATGTGCATATGTGTACATACAATTAATATGAATACATTCAATTCATATGAATATATACCTAGTATAATAAAACCCTCTTTTTGGTTCTTTAAAGAATATTCGTAGGTCTGCTGCTAAATAATTTTAATGCAACATCAGGGTATGTGTACTACCCTGTTATGTCAAGTGGCAGCCCTTCTCAATTGAAGTAGTATTGTGCTGTCAGACTCACAGTCATCCCAGGCTTTCCTTTAGGGTGTAAGTGTTCAGTGTGCTCAATGATGTGGTTAGTATGCCTGTTTCCAGGGCAACCGGAGAAGCAGTCACACTACTAAAGATATCTCACAATTATTTTCTTTGTTTATATAAATTAAATCCCAAAATAGAAAAAAAAACCCTCTTAGTAACATTTCAGGGACATACTATAAATTAATTCTAGATATTGCTTTCAGTTTTATGATACACATCTTATATATACCAATAACATATTTTATCATTTATAATATGTGTAAATAAATATTTACAGAGATTCTATCTCATGATTAGAATATTGTGAATCCACAATAATTAAAAATTAAAGATTTTTTATAACAATTGTACATTTTTTAAATGTGTCATTTACAGTACATTCAGATTTATATTGTAAAGTTTATATGCAGAATTTATGTTGTTTTTTACCTTGTCAGATTCCAAACTTTAACAATCTTCTTACAGTATATATTTGCAGTAAATGTGATCAAGAGCAGTTAAATCTCTGAGTGAAGTGCTCAACTGTTGCTCAACTTTTGTTCAGCTGAAAATCTCTTCTCTAACTGTAAGCTGTTAACAGAGAAGCAAAACTACTTGGAAGCACGCAGACTACTTTGGAATATTGTTTTTCAACTAATATGGTTTGGGAAACCGCATAATAATAATATACTGTACTACGTTGTTTAATTTTTATCTCAAAATCATGATGTTTTCATGATACAGTACGTGCACGTACTGTATTCAAATTCGCAACAATGAATACTTTGCCAAAACAGTCAACTAGCTTACATTATTTTGGAGGTAGTTTAAAACTTTTCTTTCCCCAGAATATAAATTATTATACATTCTTGCAAGCATGATACTGGACAAAATATGTCCCTCGATTAACAATAATATCTCTGTTGCTTTTCATGTATAAAACGTAGTGTTATAGAAGTACTGAAGTGTTTCATATAATTCTGACCGGTTTTTGTACCAAGCCCAGCTGGATTTTTTAACACAATAACTTCCGTTTTATAGTCGAAAAAAAGTGGAAAACTGAATTTGTAGTTGGAGTAACGGCTCATGGCAGTTTTATATTTCCATATTAAAAATCGGCTCACGTCGTCGGCACCAGTGTCTTTGCGCCTGCGTGGACCAAAAAAGCCGGAGCTGTCCAAGTGCTGAAATTAATCAGCGGAGCTGAGCGCACGTCGCTCATTCCAGCAGTAGATGATCATCTTTTGAAACAAAGATTCTTGGGCTGTACACTCCATCTTTTGATTTTTTTTTCAAAAAATAATAATGCTACTTGAGTGGAAAAAAGCTGATGGCTAATTATTTATAATTCTTCAGTTAAATGATCAATTGCATTCACCATGTGCTAAAAATCCTTTTGGAGGAGAGAATTCAGTTCTCTCAATTCATGTGTGTGTACATATTTTTTTCTCCCCATACTTTACGTGGGTATCAGTCTTCCTCTAAACAGAACTATGATTCTAAGGACTGGCATATTATTTCCTGCTCATTATTTGCCGCTCACAAAAAAGTCTTACTGCCTTTTGATTTTAAAGAAAGCAATTTTGGCTTGTGGATCTTGCGTTTGATCAACATTCTCCCATGGAATAATTCAGAGAAGTGTGCAAACAATCAAAGAAATCAAGAGGAATGAATCGTCCGCTTGTCAAAATCCTGACGACCTTATTTGCATGTTTCTTAGAGACCAACAACTTCAGGTATGTTGATCTTAAAGTAGTCTGTTCGGAAGTTTAGATTTATTTTCCTTTGTGTCGCACAGCAGCGTATCTTTAGGCACGAAATTCTACGTGCAAAATGATTTTTGTTTTGCATTGGTTTTCTTGATTCATAATACGAACACATGTGCGGGATAACTTGATATCACATAAAAGCGATACATACGTATACTGTACATACGTATAGGTGTTTATAAGGAGCCTTTTGGACAAGCTCAGTGCTTTCTGGCACTGGCTAAAGGGAACGTTGTTTGTACAGGGTTAAGGGAGAGAGCTCGCTTCTCTTAGATGCAGCCGAAATTGTTTTTATGTTTATTCAAACAGTCCAGGATGTCTAAACGTTTTATTCTCAATGAGTCGGTTAACAATAATTTTGGAAATGCGCTTGGAATCGATGTACACAGCTGGCAACAATGGTAAAGCGCTTTGTTATAAAATGCATTAGCTGTTTGTCGTAACAGATAAACACACGACCTTTTTAAGGTAGGAAACGATGATATCGTTTCCTACCGAATACGCGGTCAATTAACTTGCGCCTTCTCTCATGCTGTTTGCATTTAGTTTGATTTCTGATTTAGTTTGATTGATTTAATTGACTCTCTTATGCACCTAGGTACATTCCGGATGAAAGTCTTTCTGACAGCATTGTTTGTAAGGCGATTTAAATACGAATGGAGCTGAGTGTTGTGTCCATCAGGAGTTTACTATAGTGAAAGAATGTCGATGTTAAAGCGCTGCTTTGCTCTAGCAGTTCTTACACGGAGCAATTATACGTAAAATGTATTACATACGGGAAATAAAGTAATGTATGTGCTAAAATAATTTAGTGTTTTTTCAGAGAAACCTAATATGTTTCAGTCATACTTCATATAGTACAATACATTAATAACTTCTAATTAGTTTTGATTATTTATTGTCATTTTAAACCCATAACAGAACCCAAAGATGTCAAATGAAAAACAAATGTTGCAAAATATTTCCCTTATAAATTCTGAAAAGCCTTTAAAATCATGATTTTCCCATGCCAGCATGATGTTTACTGTGCTGTAACATGATTTGCACTGGATATACTGTAGATTCCCTTTTTTATGTTGATGTAGTTGTAGCAACACCTTGAGTTGCCTCAAAATCAGAATAGTCTTAAGTATAAAAGAACAAATGGAGACACTGAAAGATATACTGTATATTTTCTTCCAGGAATACAGACTGATTTATCTATTGTTTGCAACAGAAGAGAGTAATAATGTTTTTTTCTGCATATCATTAAGGATGTCTGATCATTTTGTTGTCAAAGCACCCGATTTAGGTCACCATATGTATTTTTTGCTTCTTCTGATCTTAACATTATGCTAGAGTCTCTGATCAAGAGGAACACAACATGTCAAAGTGAATGAATGATAGAGATTTGGTACATGCAAAATAAACCCTTTTTTGTAGCACTTTCATTTTAAATGTGAGTCTCATCCTTTTTCATCTCAGTGCTGCTTTTGACACTGTTGACCATAACATCTGACTTTCTGGAGTTTCTGACACTGCTCTCAAATGGTTCAAATCTTACCTCACTGATCGCTGTCACTTTGTCTCTCTTAATTTCAGATCTGAAATTGGTCTTGTTAAGTCTGGTGTTCCTCAGGGCTCAATACTGGGCCCCTTGCTCTTCAGCATTTACATGTTCTGACTTGGTCAGCTTTTAAGATCACATGGCCTCAACTTTCATTTTTATGCTGACAATACTCAAATATACATCCATACCAAACCTGACACTGATGTGGCTGTTTCTATTCTATCTAATTGCATCTCTGACATAAAAATTTGGATGACTCAAAACTTCCTTCATCTTAACTACGACAAGACTGCAGTCATGCATATTGGCACCCCCCATCATCGAAGTAAAGCCAGTCCTGTAACCCTATCTGTAGATGGTTCTATACTTGAGTTTCAATCAAAATTGAAAAACCTTGGGGTTATATTTGATTCTGGCTTAGCATTCGACCCGCATGTTCAGCATACTGTCAAAATATCTTTTTTTCACCTTAGAAATATCACTAGACTACGCCCTATGCTATCATTAACTGTGGCTGAAAAGCTGATCAACACATTTGTGTTCTCTCGAATTGACTACTGTAATGCTCTACGCGCTGGGGTATCTAAATCTACTCTGAACAAACTGCAGTATGTCCAAAATTCAGCAGCCAGAATCCTGACCAGGTCTAGTGCAAGTGTTCACATTACTCCTATCCTGGAGTCCTTGCACTGGCTTCCGGTCAAATTCCGTGTAGACTTTAAAATCCTCATGCTCACCTATAAGGCTCTGCATGGCTTGGCACCTCAGTACCTGTCTGAACTATTATCACCCTATTCCCCACCTCGCAACCTTCACTCTTCTAATTCTGCTCTCCTTCCTGTCCCCCAAGCCCGACTACATTGTATGGGTGACAGGGCTTTCTCCTGTTATGCCCCCAAGCTCTGGAACTCTCTCCCCAAGGATATCAGAGAGTCACCTTCTCTAAACTCCTTCAAATCCAGACTCAAAACCCTCTTCTTCAGAAAAGCCTTTACTTAACTGGTTCCATTCTTCACCCCTCTGCTTTTCTTAATACCACCATCCATGGTCTCCTCTATATATTGTAATTGTGTTTTATCTTGTGTATTCTTCTTATTTATTGTTGTTGTCATCCTGTAAAGCACTTTGAGAAGCCACCTTTAAAGGCGCCATATAAAATAAAGTTTATTATTATTATTATCATCATTAAGCAGTATTAGAACTGTATATGATACAGTATATACTGTATATAAACAGCCAAAGAAGGCTCCGCAGCCGAAACGTTTAGTTTTCTTTCTTTTTTTCAGCATTGAATAAATCTATTACTTGTTTCTTTGCATATTTACACATGTATATCATGTTTATCTCCATTACATATACTTACTATATATAATGGGTAGTTTGTAGGAACCAAGAATATGGACAAAGTAGGCTCAAACTGCAAGCCCAACTAGTATCTACTTTCTAACATCCATCCAGTTGTACAAGAAGGTGTGTGCTGGGATTTGTGAAGTCTTTCCTTTCAGCCATTTGTGGAGGTTTGTTCAAATTAAAGGAGAATTAAATATATTAACTGGATGTAGGGGAACATTCTGCTACCACAGTCCTGAAGCCATTTAAGCGTCAGCTAGGCAGCTGCCTGCTGTCTTTAGGAGGAGCCGGTGTAATTTAATAAGAATACAACTTGTTGGGGTGTTATACAGTACATGATGATGATTGAAAGAAACTCCGTGTGGCCAGAACTCTCACACTTACAAGAGAGAGATTTGAAGGTTTCATACAATAGAACAGTAACATCAGTGATCTCCAGACCTTATTTCTTATGTAATGTTTATGATGAGAGTGCTTCTGTGTGGTTTCCACAGGACTACACAGACATGACACAAAAGGATCTCTTGACATTGCAATTTGTTGACTGTTTATTGATTTACTTATCTCAGTGTAACAGTGAAAATCAAGTTTATTTATTCATGGTAATTTCAAACATCTAACTAAGCTCTGCTTTATTAGTACCACTCATCAGATATGCATGTTCTTAATTATTACAGTTTAAATATTAGCCAAGTGTAAGAATATATGACCTGAGTCTCAGAAATCTTATAATCCAGCTTCATAAATATTAACAGTATATACTCAAGGTAAGAAAATGATAAAATCCTATCTTGTTTTTCTCTTCAGAGTGGCAGTTGCTAAGGAGCATGATTCAAGACCATCAGGAAAAAGCTCCTCCTCAGCCATGTCTCCTTCTGATTTTTTGGACAAATTAATGGGTAGAACTTCAGGTTATGATGCAAGAATACGACCAAACTTTAAAGGTAACAAAATTTTTTTTTAATGTTTTTTTAGTTGCAAGATGCAACTAAATGCAAGAAAATAGTCATGTTTTAAACAAAGTAGTTCAGGTGGGTAGCTGCATCAGCATGCGTAGGAAAAAGTAATAGGTTTATTCCATGCTGAAAAAAAGAAGAGAGAAAACACAATGTTTCAGCCATGGAGCCTTCTTCAGGTGTGAGCTTCAGGTTCAGGTGCTCACATCTGAAAAAGGCTCCACGGCCGAAATGTTGTGTTTTCTCTCTTCTTTTTTTCAGCATGGAATAAACCTATTACATGTTTTAAACAAATACTGATATGATATTAAATTAAATGTAATGCATTATTAAATTCAATTCTGTTACTCTTCACTGTTGAAAATTTAAATATAATTGCACAGTGTGACCAGAATCTACATTGGTTATCAAGAAAATAAATTAGGCAATATCAGTGTAGTCTTAAGGAAGATAACCTTTGTCATTATGAGAATAATCTACAGTATATATATAAAATCTATAATCTATAAACGCAAACTTTTTATAAACATTCAAATCAATTCCAAAAAAATGTCAATAACCAAGAAATAATATCACTATAATCTTAACACTGAAAATTATGAAATCTCTAAATTACTGATATGGAAAATATTTTGTACAGCCATTATTTTTTATTTGTCAGTAATTGTAAGTGCCACAAAATAGGCAGAAATCATAGGTATACTTAGCCATCCCAAATCACAAGTAGAACAATGACAGTTATATACTGTATGCATCACTGCTAAATGACTCATTTGTGATTAATTCTTGCCCACAAACTTTGAATAAAAGTTGTCTGTTAATCATGTTAGACAAGAGAGAGACAATCGTTCTTGTCTCGTTACAGCCATTGTCAAAGAGGTTTCCAATGCCTTCAGAATTTAATATCTGACCATCTGATAGGACAAGAAATATACACCACAGAGACGCTGGTACATAACCAAGGCATTTCCTTTTGCCTTCTTCAAATTATACTGCAACATTCAATGTACACAGCTTTGATGACGTCTTGATAATGAAAACAGATATTGCCTGCTGTTGTCAAATTTCATTTAGGCCAGCAACTAGACTTATTACATGAACAGGCGATTTGACACATTTCATTACATGTGCAGTTTTTCTAACCTTTTTGTGAACCTGAGAATGTCACATTTAATGGTGTTTTTTAACACAAGATCGGGAGGAGGTCAAATTCTAATGTCACGTTTCCACACCCTCATATACAGTATAAACGATCCCTGGCTTCCCACAACCCTGCACATCTGTTCTACCCCCCCTTCCTCCAGTCCAGCTTCACCCTTACAGCTGCCACCCTGGTTCATTCCTCACAACTCTGAGGGTGTGTGACAATGCTGATCTTCTGCCAGCTCTGTCATTTTCTCAGGCAGAATGAGCTCAGCCTGACGTGTTTCATCATTATTAGAATTTGACCAAGCTACTGAAATACTAATGGATGTAGTTTTCTAAAAGGTATTGTCTCTTGGGAACTGAGAATTAATCTAGCCATGGAAGGTTTTAATGAGTAAATGTGTTTTAATTTTTTTTCTTATATATTTTAGATTTAGGGTTTTATTTGATCCTTTTCATTATCTCCATCTGCTATTATTCTAGCAAGTGAAGGAATGAATTTATACTTTCTGAGAAATCATGTATACCGAGCTATTCAAATTATAATAAAGTGGAATGAGGATTTTTTAACAAACAAGTTCAACAAGTGTTCATAGAACTAATAAGCTGATATAACGTTTTCAGTGAAAGTGCCAAAGTTATTAATTTTAAATAACAATGTGATTTTAATTTGTCTTTTGTGGTCTCTTTTGTCCTGTTGTCTACTAGACAAATTGTTGGGGTTGAAACTGAAGCCACTGTTGTGAGCACAATGGAGTAGAATACAAAACTGTTAAACATTCTGAAACACGTAATGCAATCAGACAGCAAGGCCTGATGAGTTAAAGGAATAGCAAAGGCACTCTTCCAGCCTACTGACCCCTGTGACGATAACACTGTGCATATGCAATATGGGAGTCAGCCTGATCAACAAAGCTTAGCCTTAGCCTTGAGGAAATTGACATTTTGATATTGATGGTGCATTACCAACAGGGAACGGCTAGGGAATTCTCTATTCTTTGCATATACTGTATACACTGTGGACAAGGGATATATTGTGATGCAATTACGAAGGTTTGAGAGGTAAGGGATACCATTTTTAATTGTTCAGCAATCGTTGTATTCAAAATGATTATAAAAATAAAAAGCCATAATTGCAAGACAGACATGTCCTGCTGGGTTAATTGATTATTAACACACAGTTACGTCATGATTTCAACACCTTTAAATTTAATTGTAAAGCATCTGGTGTGGATAAAAATGGATCTTTGATTCAGCTAGGAATGTACATTAAGAAATGTCATGTTTTTTTAATCTGTAGTTCAGCATCTTTAATGTGATAATATTGAAATTAAACAACTTTTCTTTGAGGAACATTAATAACACTAGTAAGAGAAACAATTTTACTGTGAAGATACTTGTAAAAACAATTTTTTTCCCTTGGTTTCATAAGATAGATGTAGTTTGTTAATTTAGTCCCTGTATGCAAAGCCTCCTTATTATGCTTCTCAAAATGAAAATGTTACTCAGCTTTAGTTCATAAAAAAATTAACAGAAGCACAGGGATCTCTGATGATTTTGTAGGTATCCTGGCTGTGTCAATGCCAGTGTAGTGAAACTGTTTCACTTCACCGGTTTTTCTTTCAAAGAATATTCATGGTGGTGTGGTGTGGCCATAATCCTGAGATAAAGACCTGACTGCTTCCTAGGGCAGTATGAGATAGACAACACAAGTGCATTCACTGATGCTCTCTTCCTTGATATCATTTATGCTTCAGTTATTCTGGATTTTCTAACTAAAAGCAATATTCAATGATCAAGACATTCTCACTACAGCTCATTCTATCATCCAATTAATTAATTTTCTGATTTGTTTACATGTATCATTTTTCAAAATGATGTATTTATGTTTCTTTTCTGCTTACTATCAGTTGTAACCTCTTGTCTTGGTTTGCCTAGAAGATTCACCATTGGTAAGATAAAATGAAAAACCTCCCCAAAAGCATTTTTTTAATTTAGCAATTTACAGTAGGATGAAGCACAGTGTCTTCGCAGGGCCTCTGATACTGATATAAGCCTGAAACACTGAGTAACATTCCTTTATGATCAGATAAGGTTATGTGACTAAGCTTGAGACAAGAATCCTATGTTTAGTACTTTGGGATCACTTGGTGTTCTCAGAAGGGTTAAATTTAGCACAGTGCCTGGGGGAATCATATGATGTCTTTCACTGTTCTGTCTTTCTTTAGTTATTCAAATGGTTTATTCATACTGAGAGATCTTCTAGGCAAAACCCAGAGAAAGTAACACACATTGCCCATTCACAGGTGAGATATTGTTACTGAAATGTTCCTTGGAGGACCTACAGAATCAAATTACGCAGTTTCAAAGGTGTGTCATGAACAGTCAGAGGTGAAGTAGCCTGGGAATAATGGTGGATAAATTCATAGACCAAATAATTGTCAACTGCGTATGGAAGAAAAAGTGAAAATGAAAAGTGAACTTGAAACTTCAAGTGGATTTTCTGCCCTGTTGGTCATTAATATAAATCCTGGTAACTGTAATCCATGAAGAATCTGTTCACTTAAAGGCTGGATTACCGATGACTGTTATAGTTTTCTTTCTGCACTCATGCATTTGAGGAACAATCAGGTACTAGAATACTAAAGAGAAAATTAGGGCAGGATTTGCCAGTACAATTTATACTTTAGTAATTGCCATAATATTGTTAATAAGAGGCAAATGCAAAGATGAAATCACTGTCCTTCCCATTACTGTAGGCTTGTAAGCACAATTAATGTCTTAAATGTATCTGATCAAATCTTGCCTGCAGCAATGAAAAAGGTCAAAGTCTGTTTTCCAACAATTTTTATGGCCATGATACAGTAAGTTGTACCACCTATTTATTTTTCCTAGTGTGTAAAAATACACAGACTTATAAAAGTGTGACATCCTTCAGGATGCTGAATCTATCAAATAAACTCAAACTTTTCTTTTAGATTTTTTGCCATGAGGAGTTTTATTAAAATCCATGAATAAGATGTGTATTGTCAAACATAATCAAATCATAAAAAGTATTTATGAAGATAAAAATTCTAATTATTGGATAAAGATTTTTTTAAAGTATTTTTACTAGATTTTTATTATACTATTAGATGTATTGAACAGCAGTTGTTTGGAGCAAGATACATGCTGTCATAATGAGATTATGTTATCAAAAAAATGTACATCCAGTTTTTACAGGATGGTTGAAATATAAGTTAAGATGAAGGCAAATGGTGTTTGAACCAGGGTTACTGTACCTCCTTTTCAGAATAGTTTAAATCTTGCAATATGTTCCATTCCTTGAGCGTGGCAAAATATTTTGTGCTTCAAGTATATTTTTGAGTTTTGTACAGTATCTTAAACTGAGATCCTATTACGATGAGTTTTTTTATTTGCCGTTGTACTGTACTGTCACTAGTGAAAATAAGTGAAAAGCTAAAACTGAAATAATCAGTACATTTCATATTCACATATGTACATCACTTTTTTATGAAGGAATTTATTTTGCATTTTGTGAACATCCAGGCTCTTACAAAGTTCAGTTGCCAGTGACGTTTATAGAAGTCCTGGTCTTGCTCTTACCTTTTCACAGGAGATAAAGGGCTCTCTGAATGCAGAGTACAAGGAGCCACTCAATTGTAAGACCTGAAGCAATCACTGCAGCTTTGGAGAAGGACCTATATTCAACAGTACATTGTACAGACATTCTGTTTTACACTGTTTTCTTTTGGCATTAAACAGAAATCTGGACACAAATTTTAGTAAATTAGTTTAAATAGGATAAAATGTTGATTAAAAGGTGAATCAAACACATCTTAACAAACATATTTTTCAGCAGCATAGTGCTTTATTTCTGTTAATTTTGATTGTGATGGACATTCAATCAGTGTTCATGAAATGGAATGATACAACTTCAGAACTTAAGACTGTAGCAAGAATTTTAAACTGTTAAACTAAATGTTTCCTTTAATGTATACTTCCTTATATTTCATTAAGAATCAGAATATCAGAACTGCACAGGAAATTTAACTTTATAATTTTTTTGTTTTTTTTTAAAAAAGATCAGTCTTGTTTTTGATGACAGTGTTGTTTTCAAAAGGATATTGAACTAATGCAAACAAATCTTGGAGATCAAAAACTATAAGCTTTTTAATATTACTGAAAACTATATTTTTATTTCTCTACTTGACTTTTATCCCCCCAAAAAACCTTTCCTCACATCCCAGGTATGAATCTATAATAAGTTAGACATCAAAAAAAAAAAGCAGAATCCAGTTAAAGAAAAGGAATATAATGAACTTCAAGCATGGGTAAAAAGCAATATTAGAAAGGCCAAGAGAGAAGTAAAGAATAAGATTGTAGTGGCAGCTAAAATCAATAAAATCTTTTTCTTCAATATTACAACACCAGAAGAACAATAAAATATGAAGTAAAGCATTTCACCAATAAAGATGGGAAACTTCAAGACAAGAAAAGGGAAATGGCTAATGTACTATGGTAAATTAATATTTGACTCACGTTTTCTAAGGAAGAAATCAATAACATGCCTCAGGCCAAGGAAAGACACACTTCTGTATTAAATAATATTAGCTTAGATGAAACTGTGATACAGGTATTAGAAGCATCTAAGATAAACTCTTCAGGGCCTGAATGGTATTCTACTAACTGTATAGGGGTAAAAACCATTAGATACTGCATAACAGAGGGTAATACACAGCCACTCATAAAAGACTTGACAAAACTGAAGCAAATACAATGCACTTAAAATGTATCCATACCCTGTTAAAACAGGAAAAATAAACAAAATAACAGAAAGATTTACAGACATTTTTAAGACATTGATCTCAATTAATGTCTAAAAAATCCAAGCATCAGATGTATTCACACCATTGTAGTTAGTATTCTGTAAATGCTCCTCTGGCAGGGATTACACAGATTGATCAGAAAATGTGATTTTATGGAAGGTGTGACTTTTTAGAATAGCTTGTACATTACCTAGAGACTAGATCTAAATCTCCAGAGATGTTTTGGCAATTTGGTTTTCAATCCATAAATAAAAGGTCTCAACTAGTTGAAAATGGGCAAAAAAGAATGCAGGTGAAAGGTTCAATGTTTAGATACAAATATTTTTTTAGATAGATACTTTATTAATCCCGTGAGGGAAATTGCAGGATTCCTGTATGTTCTGTACATTTGACCTCTTATTCTTTATACTGTACAGCTTGTATTATATTATGATTCATTTTCATTGGTCACTTCATTTTATTCAGCCATTTAAGAGCATTTTTCATCAGTGCAACGGTTATTCTGAGACATTATTTGGCATTCGGTAAGCATTGCTATAAATGCTGTGAGTCAGTGTAGATTAAATAAAAAAAAAACAAAAATATTAACTTTTCAATTAATGTTCTAGTTACTATGTATCTATAATTATACAATATATACATGAGAAACTAAAGATTTTCGGCAACTCTCAAATCTATCAACGTATTTTCCTGAACATATTCTTTAAAGTTATTAATTAATAAGAAATTTGATCATTTAATGTAAAGTTGTTTGCAATGTTTTCAATTTTGAGAAGGAACAAAGCATGTAAAATAACAGGATTTTATATGTTACATTAACTGTTGTTTGATTTGGTGTTTTTTTAAAGAGAAAGTCCTTAATTGCAGTACTCAAATGGTGTGGACCTACTATACCTTGAAAAAAGGGGAAATATTCACACAGGACTATCCAGAAATTAATGCTGTTTAGCCAAAATGCCATTATTGAATTTTAATTAAATTTATAAAAGCACCTCTTGCTATACTATACTGTAAAGTGTATATATCTGATATTGCAGTTCAAATGCAAATGTCACTTTTCTCCAACACATCTTGCAACATTCTCATTGCATTCCACAGGTCCTCCAGTAAACGTTACTTGCAATATTTTTATCAACAGTTTTGGATCTGTCACAGAGACAACAATGGTAAGTGTTGTGATGCCACTGGCACTTTTTCTTGTGTATTATGAAAAACATAAATGTGTTATTTATTGTTCAACTTTCAGGTCCTCCTGTTAATGTTACCTGCAACATATTTATCAACAGCTTTGGTTCAATAGCTGAAACTACAATGGTGAGTTGGACATGTCATGCAGACCATTATATGAAGGTCTGCTGTCTTTCCCAGATTACCAACAAATTAAAAAAAAAACAGCAAATAAATTTTAAAATTTTAACCTTAGGACACTGTAACAGTTTATTGGCTGCACTATGCCTTATGGCTGGTATGGAACTACTGTATACATCACTGTTCAGTGGTTGACAAAATATTCGGCTACTGAGAATTAATAGTCATGCCACTAAGAATTAAAATATGGGCACAGATTACACTATACATTTTGTCAGTTAATTTGTCTCTCCTGTAGTTGTTACCATCTTTGAGTAAGGGTTGTAATTTAAATACTAAGTACATATGTTTCAGTATGGGAAACTGTAACTCAAAGTAGAATTGATCTAAAATGCTATCAAACCAGCATTATGAATGCAGTAACCACCAACAACTTGAAAAGCAAACATTCAGATCCCTGAAAAGATTACTCCCTGAACCTTCAAGAAACTCACTACAGAAATGCCCAAATCAAATGAGGGTGTTATATTTGCTCAGTTTAAACAATCAATTGGAGCTTCCAATAAACTGTGTGATTGAACTGTAAGATGATTTGAAAAGGCAATGGTTTCTGGGAAACACTACAGACTTCATATAATGGATCTCAATAAAACCACCTGCACGAATCAATACTAACTGCATTTCAAAACCTATTTCTTCACAACTACACACTAACTAATAATGAAAGAATATTTATATTTTGGGCATAATACTATGATAAATCTCCACTTGCTTTATTAGAACTGCAGTAGAAATCTCTGGTCTATTTTGAGTTATTTATGAAGCAAAGTTAATTGTTTTTTAGTTCCTTTACAGAACACAGTAATAAAACAACCGAAATTAAAGACATTCCATTGTCCAATTACCAGTTGCATTCGAATATATTTATGTGATATAATTTTTCAAAAGATTTTTTTTCTCATGTATAACAGAATAATTAAATTAAAAAGTGACCGTTGTTCCCATTTTAGGAAGCACAATTAAGCCAATAACTTTTTTTAATTTTATTATTTTAGAATAATAATAATTTTACGTTATAGGTCTATTTTACGATATGGGTCTCAACTAGCAGAACACACTGATCGTTCCTCTGTGGGAATTCCAGTACTCCCTCAATTATTTAGCAAATCCTACTAGTTCAGTGAAATAATTACAGAGCTCTCTGTTTCAGAAGTCCTTTGACAGCCTGCTTGTAGAGAACACATGAACAACGTGGTTTAAAAGCTTTTAAAACCAATTTAATGTTGCTTATTTTATCTTATTCATAGGTTTGCTTATTAATATAAAATAAATAAAATTAGCAATATGCCTACTTTTGGGGAATTTTATTTTAACAAAGTACATTTTGTAAAGCACATTTTAAGACCTGTCAACAATTGTTATATTTGGTCAGTTCACTGCAGAGGGTGACCATGTGAGAACATGAAGGAAATCACAAATCTGGAGGCATAAATTGAGGCCTTGCACATCTCTGGCTGAAGAACTGAATAGGAAAAAAATGATTTTGTCTCCGAACATAAAGAGAGGTTTTAAAACAATTTAAAACAATCAGTCCTTCAAAACACAGCTCTGCAGTTACCACGGATAAGTCAGTCTAACCTTTTCTGAGCACAAACAATTCTCACACTTTTCTGTCTCCAAACAATTTCCAACTCAACTTTCAATTTTAAAAACACAGGAAAAATACGTATTGCCCCTCTTTCCATAGTTAGTCACAGGCTGGACTGTCACAATATCTGCATTTTGGCAATAATTGTAATATTAAGGCTTTTTGGTAATTGTGGTAATCTGACATCCATAAGAGGTTTACTTTTTATGGTGAAAATTATATTTCTTGTGTATTTAAAACTGAGAACAGGAAGAACGTCTTTATACAATCATTGGTGGGAATGTGGGACAGGCTGCCCAGCCAAATTGTTGAAGCCAATACCCTGACTTCTGTCAAGAAATGTTTGGATGAGATCCTCTCACCATTTAGCTACTAGGAATTAACTTGACCAAATGGCATCCTCTCACTTGGACTGTAATCTTTCTTAAATAGACGATTGTTTCCTAAAAATCTATGTTATAGTTAATATATTTTTAATTCAACTCCGGGATATAGTGAATTAAAAAAAATGTATTTACTTTCCAGAACACAGATGGATCAAACCTAGGGTATATACAGTATTCATGTGGGAATTTATGCAGTTTCACTTGCTGTTACGAGTTGATTATAGCAGCTGACCAATACAGCATTAACACTTCCTAAATGTATTTAACATTTAAAAGACATCTCTGTTTTTGATTAGGACATTGTTTCTTTTTTTCCAAAATAATTCATTTAAAGATTAAAAAGAAAAGAAATCTAGAAATGACCGACATTTTATTTTTTGATACCGTACCTAGGAACAATTCTAAATAATTAAGAAATAACACAATGAAAATAAATTAACACTAAGCACTTTTCCAGCACTAAGTAATTATTTCTTATATAATTTTACACTTTGCTTACAGTACATGCTTTTTCACAAGGTATACTAGCAGGGCTTATTCCAGGAGAAAATTGCTTTTTTAAAATTGACATTAATCTTGTCACTGTGCACTGAAAGGTACAGTATTCCACAGGGCTGGATTCTCTGAATCATTTTTTCAATCTTCAGAAATGTTTGCACACTTAATCCCTGTCTTCAGACCTGCCAGTGTTTTTCTCGGATATTGGATAACATTTTTTTTTGTTTCTATACTTGCAATATTTTTACAAAGTTTACAAGTTACAACTAAATGTTACCAAATCATTTTAAGGATTTTAACTACTCACAGGCAATATTAAAACATATAAGCAGTAATATTAATTTGTTGTTCATTACTTCAATGTTTTGCATACCATTCTGTTCCACTTGTATGTTTGAAGTAGCCATGAAACATTATCAGTGTGTTCAACATGAAATAAAACTACATTTAGCATTCTGAATGGAATTGCCTACATATTGCACTTTTGCACACGTCATTTAATGATGTGAAGTGCACTTTGTAGAGATGAAAGTGCATTTCAAAACACAAAAAAGGTTTTCTCTTGAAATCTGAACAAAATGCTTGTTTTTGTTTTACTGTGATGACCTTTGCTCTAAACAAACATATGGAAATTATTGTTTCTACAAAATAATGCAGAGTAACTTCTTCCGGTTAGAAAAACAAGGCAATTTGAAGTGAAAATTTGAAAAAAGACTGTTAAAGAGCACCATTTGATGTGGGCTATGCAATGCATGCTACAGCTTTTGATATGAAGAGACTAGAATCCACTATGTCCCTTCTGTCCAAGATTAGATAACTAAAGTACCATTCAGTCTTTTCTCTTATTCATTGTATATCAATGAAGGCAAAGGTCACCTCCTTAGTTGCAGTACTTGTTGTTTGCAATGTCTTGCTGAATAAAGGCAGTCTAGAAATCATGATTCTCAGTAGAGACTGTATTTCTCAATGTTTTTTATGACCCCAACATTTGCTGGTCTTTGTACCAGTTAGAATTTGTCTTAACCAGAACATACTCTTATTAACTGCTTAAAAGCAGCACATACATAGGTCTTAGAAAATCTAATGGATCATTTGAAATCAGAGGCTCTGTAAGAGCCGGAAACAAAGAGTTCAAATGATTCAGGGTATTTGTTTAATTAAGGGATTGGTTCTGTATTTGATAGCTCAGCTGGAATGAAAGTTAGTAGACCCTAGGTCAGGAAACTCAGATTGGGAGTAGCTCATATTTTGTTGGGAATCCCTCATCTAAAGTATAAGAATACCTTGATGAAAAAAAAGTGCCTGGCTAATCTGATATATAATTACATCTGAGATATAACTACACATATATACAGTTATAACCTGAAGTGCTTGTGCAATATGTTTGACTAAAGTCATTTTTCACCCTCAGTCTAAAATTCAGTTTTCTGTTTGCACACTGAGAATCTCTTTGTGCTGCTGAGAGTCAGAACAGCCGATGTAATGCTTGGTATTTTCCCAGGATTACAGGGTGAACATATTCTTGAGGCAGCAGTGGAATGACCCACGCTTGGCCTACAGTGAATACCCCGATGACTCTCTGGATCTGGACCCCTCTATGCTAGACTCTATTTGGAAGCCTGACTTGTTCTTTGCCAATGAGAAAGGGGCCAACTTCCATGATGTTACAACAGACAACAAGCTACTGAGGATTTTCAAGGATGGCAATGTTCTGTACAGCATCAGGTGAGCAATGTGTTCTGCTGTGAAATCCTTGAGCAAATTCAAAATGGTCTAAGACTTGAGAGTTTTTTTTCTTTTTTTGCATGCTGACTGGACAGGTGCTGTTCTGCTGCATGCAGTGATTAAGCACTATGTTGTAAATGAGATGTCAATGCAAATGCACTGTTGAAGTTATTGTTCTGTCATGTATAGCTAATGCTTCTTACAATACCATTTGCAAAACATTTCTTACTTGTTTTAATGTAAGAAAATTGTATTGATGAGAATATCTGATTGTTGCACTGAAAATTCAAGCTAGATGGAAGTGTATACGGATGATTTGGGTTTATAAACAGTGACTGGAATATGCACAAATCAACAGTACAAGACTGTTACAAATAATAATGGGATTTTTAGATATCATACATCTATAAAATCTGTCTAATCTCTTGCAGATTTTCCTAGACACAATGTTACATTTTTGTTGGACATGGTTCGTACTGTAGGTAGCTAATGGTATACCTGAATGGCTGTACTTTCTGTGTGAATTTACAATTACAAAGTGCAGCAACAGTGTATTAGAAGGCACAGAAAGGATCTGTCCACTGCATGAAAAAAACAAAAGTTGTCAGAATATGACTATTAAATGTATAGTTCTGTAAAAAGAAATAGTATGGTACATACTGTATGTCAAAATGAAAGTATCCAGATAATGTATACATTTGAAGTTGGATGCGACATACATATTTCAGATTAAAAAAACATGTTGACATGTTGTAGGCTAAGTGTTTATCCATGTAAATAAATTAAGAAGATTTTTTTATACAACTACTGCACATGTAGTTATTCCCTGTTGGGTACCTTCTTCTGAACATTCTCTGCAGGTGAATGATAGTTTTCTGTATGAGCCACTGAAATGTGTTTCTTCTTTCCTTGATTTCCATCTTGTGTCAAAAACAAGGAGTCACAGTAACAAACTACCAAATAAGTGATTTCTGTAGTGGGAAAAACTGTTAGGATAATGGTGACCATGCTTCTATTTTCTTTACATTTCTAAATTAAATGCTCTATACTATATATTGAAAAAAATCATGAATTGAGCATTTAATACACCTACCTTTAAATTGTATGGTGGCCTTGAAGTACAGCCCAAACTATAAAAAAGAACGCACACTAGAAAAAAGAGGTGCACCGTGTGTGCTCCTTCTTAAAGTGTGTGCTGCACTCTAAGGCCACTGTACAATTGTAAGGAAGCACTCTTGTTTAAGAAATCACTGTGATGACACAAACTATGTTATCCAATTCTGCATATTATATTCTGTATTGCACAGCCATGTTCGGTTTCTACTTCTTCTATTAAAAAACAATTCTATAGTCATATACTGTATTCTAGGATCTTTAAGTCATTTTGGTTTATGTCAATGTGATCGAAATACTTTCTGTTCTTCATTTTTCTACAAATCACTACAAATTATTTTTGTAGTTATCTGTAGAATTCTAGAACAAAACATACTTTTTTAGCTTTTTAGGGATGTGTCAAGAGCACAAAATAACGTTAATAATGAGCAACACCTAACAATGAGTCATCAATTAGATTTGATTGGTAATTAGGATGGGATAGCTACTACAACACTTCAGGTGGGCTGCTCAGACAGTTTGAGATGTTGTGATCACGAGTTTTGGAAGATTCCAATTAATGTGAAGCAGCGTTTGGCTTCTGCTCACCCACCCGTGACTTTGTTAATACTGTATGCAATAGTTAACACAATGAATCTCAAATAGTCACTGGGACAGCCATTGGCTTTGATGGCCAATACATCGTAACAGTTGCGTTGCAGTATTTTTCAGATTTAGGGATGGTGTAAGCAGTAAGACAGAGACTCGTCCTGTTGAAAGGACATGTTCACTGGCATGTACAGTAGTTACAGTATGTAGTCACCTCAGAGAGAGGTCCATACCTTTCATACACCACAGGCCAAAACGTAGGACCACAACCACTGGTAGGTAACTGCAGGTAAACTGCAGGTAAAGACACTGCTGCTTTACTTCTCCTTTGATTGTAACTGAACCAAAACTGACCACACCTTTAACAGAATCTAAATAGGTTTCAATTACATAATATAATTTTGGGCCAGTTTTCATGACCTGTGACATTTTCCTTAATATATTAAGCGGAAGTACATTTATCAGTTACTGTGCATGTGCCACATGTGCCTTCTCCCTCATGAATCATGTATCTCTGTTTGGGAAAGCAACTTTTGAAATGTAATCCATTACTGTTAGATATTACTTGTGGAAGAGATTTCTTTTGAAAATTAACAAGAATTTGGGTTAAAATATTTTAAAACTTCACCCATGTAAAAGAGATCCATGTAATGTGTGCACAACAACTACAGTACATAATAAGACATTTCCTCTTAAAAGTAGTTCCTCCCAGCTTCCTTTTAATTAAAAACATTACCCAAGCAACTCTAGTGGATTCCTTTTTTAAAGTAATTTCCCCTAACACTATGTTTTGCCAATTTCAAAATACAGGATGTTTAGAAGAATGTGTTTGAAGCCAGTCTAATTTACTACAAAAACCAACGAGCAAATGAGTGCAGTCAAGGGTGTGTGAAGGGCAATAAAAATGCCACTTACACAGATGTAGTGCAGAGAAGATATTTTTTCTTGAATGTGGTTGTTTAAAAGCACTTTATGCATTTGTCCAGTACAAAACCATTAGGCTTTGTCTGAGAGTGTGCTAAATGGTCATAGTTCACAGGTACAGATTATCAGGATTTGTTGGACCCCTGTGCGAAGCCATGAGGAAGGTAGTACGAGCAAAAGTAAATCCAATATTCCAAATCCAAGTCGTAAGGCAAGAACGAAGTCAAAAGTAGGAGAACCAGGTGGGTAAGCAAAGGAGTCAGGTCGAGAATAGTAGCGCGCTCAAGAGAAAGCTGTGGAAGACTTTTCAATAGTGAAGGTAGGTAAGCCTGTGAAGAGTGTTTAATTATTGAAGAGAGAGAGACATGGTCAGATAATTAGTTCCTGGATGAGCGTGTGTGGAATTTAGTACGCGTGGGAATGCCGGGGTGCTTACGGGAGAAGCTATGAATCGTGACACAGATCTCTCAGCTGTTTGTGGCAGCACTGATAAAGGCACAACTGTCTGGTTTGTAGAATAAGAATGTAGCTTAAGAATTTTGTTGCATTTGTAAAATGATTATAAGTATTGAAATATTAAAGTGAAACCTACAGCTAATATGAAGTACCTTCTATATAATGAAGTAATAACCGTATGATGAATACAGTATTTATATCGAGAGCACTTAAGCTATTTTGAGTTGGTGTTAGTTAAATCAATTGCTGTGGTAAGATGTTATACCATTTAAGACAATTTACAAGCTTCTGACAAGATATTTCCTCATGTATATTTTAATTCAGAAAAGGCTCCAGAAGAGCACTAAGGTGAATTAAGTCAATTTCACTGCAACTACACTTATTTCTCTCAAAGTGTATGACTACTAAACTCTAGTGCTGAAGTACTGCTGTACAAATTGCCTGTACATCCACTATTTATACTAAATGTCTGGAGTTCAATTCTTTTTCAATGAAACACTGAAGACTGGTTTTAGGCAAGTGAATAAGAAACTTGTTTGATCAATCCTAAAAAAATGTGTGTTAAAAATCTAAAACAATACCTCAGAAAATTAAATTCAGTTGGTTGAATCAGCAAAGGGAAGGCTTGCTGTCAGTGATTGATCAATGACCAATTGCCTTTCTTCTCCATCCATTTTCTAACTCCTTCTTAAAATTCAGGGTCCTGGAGGAGCTAGAGTCCATCCCAGTAAGAGATGGGTGTAAGAGAGGATACACTCTGGATGCTAGTCAATCATAGGGCAGACACGCAGAAACAGACATGCACACCTAGGGTCAATTTTCATAGAAGTATTTACTTATCAGTATGTTTGTGGATTGAGGGAGGAAGCCAGAGAACCCTGAGGAAACCATGGGACCACAGATAATAGCCCAGGGATTGAACCCCAGCACTGCTAACAACTGTACCAATGTGCCACCCTTTTCTTCACATTCATTAACATAATGATGGCGAGACTGGAAACTGGCCAACATATTTAGAGCAATTTCTGTAAACTGTGGTTTTACAACACACAGTAGTTGGAGCCTGGCCAAGTTCCATATCTGTTTACATGCTATGTCTTGCAAAACATTTCAAGACCCTTGCACAGTTTTCACAATTTTTTGCTTTAAGGCTTTCAAATTTAAAGTAGCCATTGATATTTATCATATACACAACCCACATGCGACATTAAAAGTAGAAAACTAAAAAATAGTAAACAAATAAATAGTATGAAAGAAAAGTAAAAAAGTAAAAGTTACATTAGCATTCAAATCCTTCAATGTGGCAATAATTCAAATAATTCAGGTGCACAACATTACCTTAACAAGTCATACAACTGTGTGGCTTCTGTATGCAATAATAGTGATTCACATGATTTCAGAATAAATACACAGGTCTTTTTAAGTCCCCTTAGTCAGGTCATAAATTTCTAGCAAATATTCAATCATGAAGACCAAGGAGCTTTCAGAAAAACCCAGGGGTAAAGTTGTATAAAGGCACTGACCAGGAGAAGGGTATAAAAGACCTTTAATATCTCCTTGAGCATTTGAAGTCCATCAGTAAGAAGTGGAAGACGTGCTGACACTGTCTAGATCAGGCTGTTCCTCCAGCCTGAGCAGCCAGACAAGAAGGAAACTGCTTGGGAAAACCACCACGAGAACAACGACTTTGAAAGAATCCCAGAGTTCAGCCACTTAGATGAGAGAAAATATTCAGAGGAGAACAATCTGCCAGTCACTCCAGAAAGGAGGCAGTATGGCAGAGTGGAAAACCAATCTCACACCCTCCATGGAGTTTGCAACAAAGAATTTAAGTGATATTGCAAATATTTAACACAACAGTTTGTGGTCAGAGAGGTCTAAATTGGATGCAAATGCAAAATGTTGCATCTGTCACAAACCAAACATAGTTCATCACTCAGTCAACACCATCCCTACTGTCAACCACAGTGGTTAGCATTATGTTATAGTTTTGCTTCTCATCATCAGGAACTGGGAAGGTGGGAAGATCATCATGTGTAATGTAATCAAAATAATCTTACTCTTACTGTGTGGTAGAACCATGTGAAATGTACCAGAAGTAAATTGCTAATAAAGGTCTATTCAAAAAGTTTGCTTGTGCCCTTCAAATCATTCTGGAAGAACAATGGTTTAGAGCATAGTCAGAAGGCAAGAAGAGATGAAAAACCATCTATGAGTAAAACCAAGAAAGCTTGCCTTAATATATGTTAACTCTTTTCAGTGAAGACTGAAGAGTGTCTGAAAAGCTGGCTGTGTGGTCTGAATTAAATATCTACACCTTTTATTTGGTTCTATCCCTGGCAATTCTGTGACTCACAGGTCTCCAAGCTGAGTTGTTCCTTAGGACTGCTGTTACATTAGAAAGTGTTATTTCTTTGACAAGGGAAACAGTGGCTTATTTTTTATTTTCCCTTCTTACAACTGGATCTGTTGCCTAACTAATCTTAGAACAAGGTTCCTTTGGCCTTTTTTTAGTATTTTATTGTTTTAAAAAGAGGTTAAAAAGATCACTTTTATTTCTGGGTATATGGAGAAAATTCTTGAGAGTGCTTCTTATGGCAATTGTTCAACAGTATGAGGAGAGTTAATTTTATATTTGCCATGTGTTTCTGTTCTAATGTGCAGTACCTTGCTTAGTTTAAAATAAAATATTAAAGCTGCAGTTAGAGGGATATCTAAAAACACAAAGCAGCTTTTCCACCACTGCACAGAGCATCCCTAGAGGCACAAAAAATGTAACAAAGTTATTGATTTCTATACTTCTTTGCTGCATTATTAATAACCTGCTGAATCAAAAAGAACTGCATTCCTGCAAAGCATGGACCCCAATGTGTACAAGTTTCAGTTAATTTGTAATGCAGAAAAACAGTGTTTAGATTAGCAGACATGTGCTAAAGAAACCACTTTACTGTACCCTCCAAAGTATATAGTACCTTCAGTTTTATGATAGGATTTTTAGTGTTTCAAAAGAAGCACTCCCTCATCAAAGACTTCCCTTCTCAAGAGCTCAGCCTTGAAAGGATTATTGCAATCTGAACAGAACCACTTCTGCACCTGAGCAGCAGTCTTGTTTTTAGTCAAGGACTAAGTCAGTCTGGAGCATTTGTATGGAAAGAATGAAAAGGCTGCTCTGGTAACAACAATAAAACTGTCTCCCAGTCTAATAGATTCAATCACTTCTGGGATGAAGAGGTCTGCATTGTAAAACTAGTGAGGAACAAAAATTGTGGGCAACACTGGGCAATTTCCCAGAAAGAATGTCACTATCTGTAGGAGATATGGCTGCAATATTTTTATACTGTTTACCTGTCAGCTTATGCCAACGAGGGCTATTCCCATGAAATCAAGGCTTCGCAAGAACCGTGGTATGAAGACAAATTACTTTGGCTTAAATACAGTGGCTGTGTTTTTTTTTTTAATCTTCTGTTTTGTTGCTTTTCAAGATTCTTTTTTAATAGCATTCGATACTAGTGAATGCACGCTGACATATCAGATGATTAAATCTGAATATCAGATTTTGTGTGCTGGATAAAATATTTCAAATATTTCTTGTTTTACATATGTAATTAATTGTTTGCATTGATCTGTTCAAATCAAATTTCTGTCCGTTAATTCTCTGTTGTGATTAAGAATGGGAAAAAATGCTTAGCTCCCATTAATTTAATGGAACCGGTTGGTTAAATGGAACCAAATCCGCTGATCTACTGTACATCACATACAGGTTAGTACATAAGAAAGAGGCCAGGAGAATGAATCCCAACCAAGATAACAAGTCTTTGGTGACTGTTTTTACAGTACCTTCAATTTGTTTGTTCTCTGTTCCCTCTGTGACCAGTGAGTTAGGAGGTAGAATTAATTCCAAATATTGTTTTATTTTTGGAAACAGGTGAAATTAGAAGCTCTACTAGTGGCTATACAACTGATTTTCTAATCAGGGATGAATATGCTTCCCTTTATTAATTAGATACATCAACGGTACAGTAAAATTCAGCCAGCATAATCGTTAACAGTCTAAATCAAGAAATCAAGCATACTGTAAAAAGTTTTGTTCAATTCATTGGTTATTTCAGCTTCTTATGGAATGCATATTTTTTAAATGCCATTAAAATAAAGACTTGTTCTAAACTAACTAAAAAAGCTCTGTATAATTAGTTATTTTATAAACAGGGAATCAATTCAGTGACATTGCAAGCATGGGACAATATTGATTTTGTTGGTTGCTACAGTATATGACTGAATTAATCAATATATAATTGCATATGAGAAGAATAAAAGGTATAAACATGACATCTGAAACCAGGTTGTTAGATATTATTTCGGTGTTCATTTTTTCATTATAGAGTATGTTGAAATCCTTTCAAACATACTAGTCTTTCAAAAGATTCATGTTCTGCAGCTAAATTAAGTATTGATTATGTGTTTTTTTCAACTAATTCATATTACTGTTTTGTACTGGAGTGGGGTAATTGTAGTTGTGGATTTCTGATGGGTGGATATAGGGAATCAGTTCTCATCAATAATCACCGGTTAGGTAAATGTGTGAAGACTGGAATTCTGCAGACCAGATTGCCAGCTATGTGTCCAATCGTCCAAGCCACAATGGCTGGATTTGTATTACTGGAGGATGTGTGCAATTATCACTTGTATTTATTAGACTTGTTGTGCTTGAAGTGGAGACAGTATTAGAACAAATTGAAAAACACATCTTTCAAACATTTGTCTCTATGCTAACAATGAGATCCTTATTTCACTTGTTGTTTGGCACATGCATCAATTTTTCTTGGCTAGTAAATCATATGTTTGTTTTGGTGTAGTCTTTTAAATTGTCAGGAGTCCTGCAAGCAAATAAGAGGATAGTTCTGGTTAAACAGCAGCATTGTGTAGGTATTTGTCTATGATTTATATTAGCATATTGCACACAATTCCCCATCTTCATAAATGCTTGTGACTTGTATTTTAAAGAGTTCTTGAATGTTAACTTTGCCTTTTTTTTTGTGAAATAAAGCAACAGTACTTGGTCCTACATGATCACTCTTATTTATATTAAAGGCTATCCACTGATAATCTACAATATATTTTCAGTGTGATTTTTTTTCATTCTTTATTTAGAAAAAAGAGGAATGAGGAAACTGGAATGAACAACTATGCTAGTTTCAGAGATAGTGGCTACTTTCCATCTGTGAAAATAACCTGCCCCAAGGAAAACCTTGAATTGGGAGCTTTGCCTTACATGGTTGTGAACTCTAATGGGGAATATGCTGTGTGTAACAAGATTCACTCATATTTGTTTCATTATCCCTGAAAATGTTACGTATACAGTATATAACTGACACAAATTCTGAAGATTAGTGATCCTACTGTAAATCAGATGTCAGTGGTACTGCACTTCACTGTGATGACTATTCACTTACTACTTGTTGTCTCTTGTCCCTGTGCTTTCTTAAACAAACGGGTTATACCTCTGTTAGGTGTCACTGTTGGAGTTACTGTATGTTTACAGTCAATGACATTTCTGAATTTCATCATTTGAGTTCAGAGCTGTTGCAGTACATTGATGTGACCAGAATTCTATCCTTCTATTTTTCTGAAAGTAATTATTGTTTTTTTTTTTCAGCAGACACTTTTGTATCCAGCAGATTACATATGTGTTCATGTATTTTATACAACTGAACACTTTACTGCTACCATCTGAGTAAAGTTCAAGGGTATAACTGGAGAGACAAAATCCAGTCAGTTTTTGTTTTAGATTTCCACAGACTGTATATTGAATTCAAAGCAATAATGAGTGGTATCTGTAGCTCAGGTGGGTAGTTGCGTCAGCATGCATAGGCTGCAAAGGAACAAGTAACAGGTTTATTCCTTGCTGAAAAGAGAAGAAAGAAAACACAATGTTTTGGCCTTGGAGCCTTCTTCAGGCGTGAGCAGACGTTGTGTTTTCTTTCTTCTTTTCAGCGTGGAATAAACCTATTACTTGTTCCATTAATGGTATCTTCCCTGTAAAATGCCTTGGGCATTTAAATAAAAAATGTGTTTCTAAAAAACACTCTAAGATGTAGTAGTTAATAATGTTTTGACTGAATTGAATATACTGTAGGGATCAGCAGGTTTTACATGCTAGCTGAGTTTTTGATTATCATGTACAGAAATGTGTTTCCATTGTGGATCTTTTTGTTATGTAAAATAATGTGTGTGATAATGATGTGTTAACAGTTCCATTCTTGTTTAAGGATGTTCAATGCTCTGATTAACTACAATTCTCTATATAGTTTGTTAACACAGTATTTATGATTTGACTTTTTTAAGGTTGACTCTTATCCTGTCTTGTCCAATGGACTTGAAAAACTTCCCGATGGATGTCCAGACCTGTGCAATGCAACTAGAGAGCTGTAACTATTACCATTTTTTTTGCTTTTTGTTATAGTCAGAAAAATGTAAAAGAAGGGCCAAGACAGTTGAAATTTAAACTTTTGTTTTAGTAGTTCTGTTATTTTGAATACAGCACTTCATATCATCTTTGTGTATTCCATCATTGTCTCATGAAGACTGTAAACTGCTCAATGGGAAATGAAATGTGATAGACAGACACATACAGACAGACACATACTAGTATTAATCATTATTGATTAATAATATAAAATAATGCATTAAATCAAAGACAACCATAATCGTATTAACAGTATATAGAAGTAATTGACAAGCAAAAAGATGGACATTTAATGAGCAGTAAAATACAGAACTGCTTTTGCTTTATTTTTAAGACTGTTTTTTCTCTTGAATGTTCCATCTGCAACCGAATATTAGTCTGGGAGATCATACTGTCATTGCTAATTATGAGGTTCCAGTCTCTTCCTATCATTCATCTTAGAAAATATACAATACACTTAACAATGTCAGAGGGAATTTCTTACTATTTATATGGTTACAATAGATGTTAAGGGACCCAAATCTGTCATTTATTTTCACTTGTCCCACTTACAAAATTGCCACACTTAACAGTTGTCAACAATCAGCCTTTAATCATGAGTAGGAGAACATTTGTGTTAAATGAGAACATTTTGTTGATGTGTGAAAGCAGTAAAAGCAGAATTCATCATCTACTGACAAGTGTCTTCTCAAAGATTTATTGGTTGTTTAAAGAAACACTAGGTCTGTAAAATTACTGTAGGCCAAAGTGTTCTTAACTCAATCTCAAAGTGAACACAGCAGAAATATTATCTTCTCAAGCAGATTAAGCCTGGACTCCAGCAGTGGCTAATTTAGTTCCTGATCATTACAAAGGTCAATAAAAGCTGCTGTGTTTTCTCTGCATCAAGATAAGATATTCAGTGATCAACAGTAGTCAGCTGTGGTATCCTGCTCTTTAACAATCACTCACCTTTGTTTCTTAAAAAAAAACATTGTAATATCCACTCACCGCTCAGAATCATTATATATGAATTAGCTCGAGACATGATTATGTTTATATTAGTAGCAAATTGTTTTAAAATTGTTTTTCTTTATTTTTTTGTTTTTTTGCTTCCTTTAAGATTTTATTTTAACTGCCCTCTTGCAATTGTTTTCAGTTTTGGAATAAGGGTGCTGGAATGCAGATTAGTGTGAATTTAAATAAAATGTGGGATCCAGAATCTAATCCACTGACACTGACACAGACACTGAAATAAAAGGTCAAACTGTAGAGCTATTCAGCTATTCAGAAATGTCAAAGCTCTGAAAAAAACATAAGAAATAAGTCAATTTATGAAGAAGAAAAACGTACATTTTGCTGATTCAGATTTCAAATACAAGATATGAATATTTGAAGGGTGTTAATAATTCTGCATGACTTTTTAATCTTTTAGTAATGTGGTGCGCCTTACATTAGAGTTTGATGTACTGTAACTCTATTTCTAGCATAATACACCAAAGAAGGCTACACGTTTTTGCCAATGATGCATAAATACATTAGGAACATTAGTTTTTTTAATCTACTTATTTCTCTGACTCTTGTCACTTAGTATCCATATCTTTAAAGACCCCGGACACTTGTCTCCATCTTCTGAAAATCTTTTAATGATAATAAAATATTTGAGCACTCTACAGTAGATGTCAAGCAAATAAGCAGAGCTGTGGAATTCTGCTCAATCCTGTTTGTGCACAGACTCATGTTTACAAAGAAGATACCAAACTTTAGGGCCAGTGACAGTGGCAGCCGATTCACATTCTGTGGAGAGGTACTCAGTACCCAGTTACTAAACTAAGCCCTCCAGCCCCGGGGTACCAGACACACAAGGAGTGACAGAAAACACCCACTACAGAATGTCACAGAAATAGTACCTCACCATATGAGACCCATGCGAAACCATGTGATGGCTTCACTATTTCATCATCTGTGGATGTTTTAGTCCTCCTGAAAGGCACATTCATGTTTACCAGTTTCCATGAGGGCAGCTGGCTCCCATTAAGGCCTGTGTGACAGCTGGACCTTGCTGTGATTTTCTGGGCTAGTCATGGGGCGATCACTAACAATGGAGATCTTTGTGACTGAAGCAGGGCTTCTAATCGCAGACTATTCAATTGCAGCAAATGTAGGTTGCCGGTACTAATTACACACTTATGTCTTAAACAATGACTTTTTAATGTATTTTAAAGGGGCGACGTCATATCTTCATTTCTAACACTGATGATTTCCACTGGTTTCGTTGTGCTCTGTCATGGTCTCATTTTTACTGGATTTATTGGATTTCAAAAATGCAGAATAAAAAAAAAAGAAGAGTTCTGCCCTTTTTTATTTCTTGCAGTCGGCTACACAATGAATGATTTGATCTTCGAGTGGCTGAATGAAGGTCCTGTGCAGGTGGCAGATGGGTTAACCCTGCCTCAGTTCATTCTGAAGGACGAAAAGGAGCTTGGGTACTGCACAAAGCATTACAATACAGGTACAGGACACTCGTCAGTTTTTCCCCTCATGTGAAAAAATCATATTGGCAGGTTGGAAAAAAAGGCTGCTTGCACGAAACTGCGACACTGTTTTAACCCCCTGTTGTACATGTACAGTATATATATTGTTTTTTATTTCAGGAAAGTTTACTTGCATTGAAGTCAAGTTTCACCTCGAGCGACAGATGGGTTACTATTTGATCCAAATGTACATTCCCAGCCTGCTGATCGTCATTCTGTCCTGGGTGTCTTTCTGGATCAACATGGATGCAGCACCAGCTAGAGTGGCTCTGGGCATCACCACTGTACTCACCATGACCACGCAGAGCTCAGGCTCCAGAGCATCGCTTCCAAAGGTAGAAGTGGCTGCGGCTGGGTTCATTTGTTAAAGGAAGCAATTTCACATGACCAGGGGCACTCCTGTGACAGCTGCATGGACTCCCTCCTTCTCATTTATTGTTTTTCTAAGGTCTAGTTCTGGTCTGATATGTCAAAAAAAAAAATACAAAGGCAAGCGTCCGATTAGGAAGGACCTTTTTCACTGCACTAAGTGCTTAAGGGATGCATGGAATGAAGGCAATATTTTACTGTATATCTTCAGCTTCTGAATGGCAGGAAAAAAATAGATTTTTTTCAGTTAAATCAGATTTTATAATATAGAGAGCTTTAATGACTTTAATTTGACCTTTTATACACTGGGTAAACAGTCAAAAATTCAACCGCAGTCAGAAACCATGAAATTAGTCTTTAAAATTTAGCTGCGATAAACATTCAGATTTTTACTGTTTTTGTCAATACTGCCTAATTCAAAGTGCAGATAAATGCATTCTGAGAACGGGGGTTGCCATGGCAAAAGACACCTTACAGCGTGACGTCTTTGCTGAGGGTTTTCATTAAAGTAGCTTCCAGCAGCAGGCTGCTCTGGCAGCAGTCTCCTTAGGGACTGCGAATGTGACAGCCTGGGTCCACAGCCTTTTGTTCTGCACGGCTTGTCGTGTCTGATGTGCAGATGATATTATCTTGTGAAACTCGGAATGGATTCATTCAGAGTCATGGCCTTGTGTTTTTTTCTCCCCCGTATAAAACTTATTAAAAACAACACAAAACAACTCAAAACTACAAAGTGATTTACTGAAAGATCCAAGGGAATAAATAATTTTTCATATACCTGTTGCATGAGGTGTACTGTTGTCCATACTGTTTGTTTGAATGCATTCAACTGGTCTAATAGTCTAACTTTCAGCTCACACAATTCACTGCATCACCCTGTTATAACATGGGACAGACTATTAATTTTAACGCTATGAATTTTAATTTTTTTTCAGTAGTGATCTAGTGAATCTTGATTATTTACCCTTAGTAACATGGAGTGCAAATGTAGCAGATGACCTACAGTAGGCTTATCCCTGTCTGTCTTTCATCTTAGACTTTGCTTATATTGGACCTATTACCCCTTGCAAAATCCTTAATATGTGTTATAATGATCTCTGTAAGGTCCAAAATGATATATGCAAGAAATTTAATTTATCTAGACGCTATGTCACCTTCTCCAAAATGTCTAGTATGTTTGCATTTCTTGAAGCACAACAGTAGGCAGACTCTCAGCTTGATTTTCACTTTTGTTTTTCATTTAATCTCTTGCCTGTGGTAATGCTTTTTTGTAATCAGTGCACCTTACTATAATTAGAGTAAGAGAGGGATGTTAAACCATTCAGCTGAAAGGTTGTTTTTTTGTTTGTTTAAACACATGCTTCAGGCCATACAATAATTTGCAGTATGAATATGTTTTGTTGCCCATTGAGTTTCAGATTATTCAAAGTTTTTATTTCATATATTTAAATACCCCTGTTCAATTCATGAGTACCTGTGGGGGAATGAGGTTCTGACACCTGGAAGTTCAGAGGCTTTCAGCTCATACTCTATAAATCTCCTTACTGTTTGCTCCTGTAATGAGACGAATTACTGCTCCAATAGTGCTCAAATAGCAAACAGCACCACTGAATTAAACTGTAATAGTATCATAAATTATTAAATTGCAACATGTATTTATAAGGCTAATGTGACATAACTGACCCATGAAACGTACAAGCACTTTGTGGAAAACCTCAGTAACTTTGAATCATTCTTGGGCACTTGATCAATGGGCCAATATGTTTTCTTCAAATGAGATGCTACAAAACAGAAACTGTTTACAAGGATGATTATTTTAATTATCAGAGGAAATGTTCCAGCTTTTTCCCACTTGAGTTTTGGGGGATTTAAACATCTTTAAGTTAAATAATAATCAACTTTTTAGCTTTAAAATTCACATCACTCACACCACAAACATCAATAATTCATTTAAATAAAGATGTTTTGCATTATATTTACTGTAAGAATCTAAAAAACGAATACAATTTTGCTTTTCCATTCTATTGGGGATATATTTTCCTATTCTACTTATTGCCCAGTGGATATAAAATCAAAGACACTGTACAAAGTTAAAGAAATAATATTTGTGTGACTTTATTTGATACCCAGGGAGCTATAAAGATGCAGTTTGATTTTGAGCTTTTATTTACTCATTCAATTCACTTACGTTATTATCATCAAAGAACGTTGATTAAAACCGTTAAAGCACTTCAAATGAACCCTAATTCGAAGTGACTGTTTCTGCATTTACACCTCAATCTCATTAACGAGAAAAAGAAGCTTTTATTTCAACTGTGCTGTGGGAGGGATGCTGCTTTTATTGCAAGCTCAATTTTATTTTTTCATGTAATATTTTCAAATAATTTGGTGCTTGTGCTTTAATGTAGTAAGATGTTATTATTCTCTCACAGACACTTTCAAACTTTCAAAGAGATTGTGTTCAAAGTTTATTTAGATTAGATGGTAATAAGCTCCGTAGTCATGTTAAATTGCTTGTAAGGGATTCATAAACCTCTTTAATTACTGGCATAAATTACTGACTACATTCTTTGTAAACAACACATCTTTTCTAAAATAATTATGTCACATTGATGCCTCAGTCTTCGCTTGCATTCAAGAAGTGGTAATTTGGTAAAGTGCTCTTCAGTCTTTCTAATAAGAATTATCCCACAGAAAGAAAATTCAAATGTGGGACAGAAAGAAGAACTTTACTTTTAATATTATCTGCGTCTTGAAATTAAGTCGTAGAGATTCTTTTCTCCGAGCGGTAATTAAAAAAAATACATAAAATCAGATTTTAATTTAGGAGAGATTGTTACTTTACTAATTATGAAAACACAATGAATAAAAGCAAAAACCGATAATGCTTTCAACATCAACATTCTGATCCACAGCAAGACATGTACAGTACATATTGTATGTACAGTATGCTCGGACACATTCCTCACCCGTGAGATGTGATGATCATTTTGCAGAAGGTCCTAATTAAAATTCCACCATAGTGTTCACAGGGTTGCTAAGGATCACGAGGAGAGAGATTCTCATGCTTGCAAGGAATTGCAAACCCTCCAGAGATAGAAACATTTTAAGATTTTGTCAAGGTTTAATATATTTCAATTCAGGCAAAGAGAGTTAAATCTGAGTCAACGTGAGTGAAGAGGTTAATTTAGGATATGTGTAAAAACCCCAACGAGCAATACACTTGAGGTAAATGGAATGAGGCTGGAAGGGAAGATTTGGACTTGTGGACAGGGCACCTGGAACCCCTCTATGACAAGAGCCAGAGGGCTACTGCATCGGCAGCAGTATTAGCACTTGAGCTGAAACTCTGGGAAGACAAATAGGCCATGCCATACAGTATCTGTTCCTTCGGGAGCAGGAGATTGGTGGGCTCTGGGCTTTTTCCCTCTCTAACATATTTCCTTTTTACACTGGGTAATATGTCTATTCTTCATGTACTGCACGTACAGCATAAAAACTGGAATTAAATTGTTTTCGTGTGTTGACTCTCTTCCAATGTGGTTAACCAGTTCCTCTTAGCACTACAACCCTTGCAATGTACAGGGAGAATCACTTCACTGAGGGAGAGAGGAGCTGTAGACAGCCTACCTGTCAGAGCCGTTTGTCATTGAAATACTGCAAGCTCCACAGCGCCTCACAAGGACAGAGTGGCCAACATGTTGACCACCACAACCCTCACCGACAGCACTGCAAGCTTGAAAGTGACAGGAGTCTCTGCTGAGTGCCAAACCCATGTCAACTCAATCCTCCCCAGGCCTGCCAGTGCTTGGCCACTCTACCAGGGAATCCCGGTCAGAGTCAGCTCGTGATAAACAGGAGAGAGATATGCCAGACTTCACCATCAAACAGCACCATCTTGATTATGTAACCCGTGTGGACCACAGGGTTCAACACAAAATCCAAACAAGCATATAGTGGTGGAGCCACTCAGAAGTGCTTGCATACAGTAATATTAGGAAGACAATATTGTAACTGGTAGTATGGAGCATTTACAGGAAGGCCTTATTTCATCTATCCTGAATGACGCTAATTCTATATCATCTGACTTAACAATTATTAAGTTGTCCTAGATTAGTGCTAATCAGGATCTGTGAAGCCAGTGCTGAAATGAATTCAGATGCTGTTTATTTCAATTAATATATTTTTAAGAAAGTGTAAAAAATGTTACCAGACAAACACTAGCTCATTTAAGATATTAGCTGAAGTTAAAAAGCTTTTTTATTGCAAACTTAGTCTATCTGTCTGGCCATCTACTGTAGATATGCAAGACACAGAGAAACAGCAGATAACAGGATACCACCTAGAATTAATTTCTGACTAGGGACATGAAGAAAGTTTATTAAAGAAAGGTTATGTACTGGCTCCTATCAGTCCCTGATGGATGGAAGATCCAAGCTTATGTTTTGCAATAGATATCATCTCATGTATTACAATATGTGATTGTGGACTTTTTTTCTTCCTCTTCTCGAACTGGAAATAAGTAGAGAGAGACTGAATTATTTAAATACAGACTTCATTCTCTATCAATCCAACTTGACATACTTCTTCAGAGAATGTCTGATTCAATGCTGTGTCATGTGCCCTTAGGGAAAGTGTGTCCGCTGAGATGTGCCAATTTAGCAAATCTGTATTCTGTCTTAGTTACTGAGGAGAAAACCCCTGGGTAGCAGCCATGATCTGTACTACAGAGAAAACTCTTCAGCAATATGTAAATTAAAAAGAGTACCCAAACCCCCAAAGATGTGATATTAGATATTGAACTGACATGGGAAATCAATTCCCTACATTAACTTCAAAATATTTTAATGGTAAAACAGTGATCTTTACTTTAGAACAATGAAAAGTAAATGTAATAACCATAATTAGAGGAATATAGTGTATGTGGTGGAGCTGGTGAGCTTGTAGGTAGCACTCTTCCCACTGGACTAAACTGTCCATTTCTTAGTATAAGAAACCTGTACTACTATGAAAACATTATGTTGGTTCAACCTTGATGTTTGAATTTGGAATTTATTTTGATAGGCCCAGACATGTAACCCTTCTATCCATGAGATTGGGAACTGTAGTGAAGCATTAAGCATTAAGTAATATTTCTTTTAATCCCTACTCCTGGAAAAGGTTATCATTCTGTTTTCTGCTCAGGTTTCCTACGTGAAGGCCATCGACATTTGGATGGCCGTGTGCCTGCTGTTTGTGTTTGCTGCCTTGCTGGAATATGCTGGAGTCAACTTTGTCTCAAGGCAACAGAAAGAGTTCCTCCGTCTCAGAAGAAGACAGAGAAGACAGAACAAGGTGATTGTGCAAAGCGTGAGCTGTTGGGGCAGCTCATACTTTGGAAAATGGTTTTGCTGTCTGGACAAAAATGTGGTTTTTAATCATTTTCATGTCCATTCCTTTTGTGTGTTGATAGTAAATGAAAGACAACACTGATGAACATTAGTGGTAAAGTAAGATATTTCAAGTTTATGTTAACATTTCAACCAAACTTAATTCAACTGAATTTTTCTCTAGAACAGTCACTGATGAAGTTTCTTTCACTAGGCAAAATGTATTATTTTTTATAAATCCAGTACTTACTGTTGCTCTTCAGAAACTGTTTTGTAGTGTTTCCTGATAGTTTTCCTGATATCTAATTTACAATTAAGCCCTCTTTGTTTAAGTCACACCTAGTTCCTCTGAACTAAAGCAATAAAATTAATTAATAAAGCAAAACAGCATAATGTATTGAAAATGACATTGGGGAATTGAAGATACATAATTTAAATTGAAAAATCAAAAGGTATAAACACTCACACCATTTTCACGTTTTGATGACAAACATTATATACAGTAAAATACATGACCAAATCAGAGTTTGATCACTCCTTATAAGAGTTAATAACTACTGTACACTGCAAATATTTTAAGAGCTATGAAGCAGACAGATTTACATTTATTTTTAAAATTATGTGTTTATTGCCAATGCTATAATAGAGCAGTTGCGATTTTCTAACTCATTGTAAACCTTAATATTTTTGTCTTGTATAAAGAGTAGAGGGACAAAACACTGGAAACATGCAAGTGTCCTGCTCTGACACGTTTAAAAAAAAACAACAACAAAATTACATCTAAGCCATCTCTTTTCCGTAAATTCCACCTTCCATTACTCTTTTACTGTATCCTTATATTATTATTTTGCATGTTCTATCTCTTTCACTCTAACTAGCTCATTTTTTTTTGTTTAATCAATTTGCTGTTCTCAATCTCTCGGCTGCTGTCTGGTCTGCAATTCTGGGGACAGGAATTGGTTGTTGGCAATGAGAGCATTCAATCTGTACGCCGCACGAATGGTTTGCAGAGCAAAGAGCCGTCGACCTGTGGAGCTTTGAATCAAATCTGCAATGCAAGCTCAAGGGTAAAAGCACTGAAACACACGGCACACCACATGATGCCATGTAGCCCAAGCTTGCTGGCTATGGCATTGGGCTGATCCGTGTCATGTCTTGTGGATGAGTGTCGCACAGCAACTGCTATCCCTAAGAGTTTATCATTTTCGTGTCCTTTTTTACATTCATCGTTTATTTACCCTGTTTTATTCCCACGTGCTCTGTCAATGCACCCTGGCACCAGGAAGTCTTTCCTTTTCCTATGAAATGTCCAAGCAGCCTCAGCACGCAGTTCTGGGCACAGTTACAATGAAGTGCATGCTGAAACAAACACTGTGAATTAATTTATTTCACAAAACATTGGGGGGGCGGAGGGGAGGTTGGCAGTTTTAGCTTTCCAAAACCAGTTCGATTCAAACGGAAGACCTGCAGAAATTATATTCCAATATATTTGAAGGATTGTAAAACTCTTTCACAGTGTCGACAACTATAAACAGGAAAAACAGTTTTCTGTGCCTACAGTATACAACACGAGCAATGAAGAATTGTAATTGCATTACACACTCTTATGAAGACCCTGTAACCTTTCCTTTTTCTCTTCCTAGATTATCTAAAGCACAACAGGTCATGTCAGGGCATTGGCAGAGTCTGTTCACTGAGGCTTCAGTGAAGGGATGAACAGATGTACTGTATGGCTAATGTTAACTCAGATCAAGCCGCTCAAAACGAGGGCTCTGAAGCTCATCAGGTAGAGACGTCTCATTCAGGGACAGGCGTCCAGGCACCAGGAGACGAAGTGATGAGAAAATTTTAACATCACTTAAAAACACTCCTTGAAAAGATGCTGAACTCGTTTACACTTAAATGCTATCTTTTTTTTTCCCGATCTCCACTGAGTGTTCCGCCACTGGTTAAATTTGAATGCCGCAGTCTCTTACTTTAATATTTCTAACCAATATGCTTTATTTATTGCCATTTTTTCCCTGAAAAACTAGTCATTTCTAACCAATATGTTGTATATATTGCCATTTTTTTATTTCCCCCCCAAAACCCGCAAAAGGCTTGGAAGCATCGATTATGATGCATTTTCAATGCCCCTGAGTTCTGAAAATCAGATACTTTACTATACAGCAGCTTGAATTCCCCTTTCAGAAAATATCCAAGTCTAATGCCTGCATTGGGCCAGCCTTCCTTTAGGAGGACATTGAAGGACATCTTTAAGAGATGGGGATGGGAGGGTAATTAGGATTTAATGACTCGAAAGTTAATTTGTGCAGTTTTCACTGTCTTTGAAGCAACACATAGTGGCATTGTGGCGCACTCACCATTATCACTCTATTATACTACTGCCCTAAATATTAAACTGCATATAATGCAAAATAAAAAAGGCGGGCTTGTTCCAAGTGCTCAGAGTACACAGTGTTGTATAGTTTGCATCCTAAGACATATTCTAATCGCAGCAATAGTGAAAGCACTGTGCTTTGGTACCTACAGCATAGGAAATCCGTAAAAGGCGTTTTTGGTTAGATTAACAAAGTCATGTTAAGCTCAGCAGTGCTTAAATAAGAAAATCCCACTACAACTAATCCACTAGCATTATGAATATGGTACATTATATGGGGAAATGTCAGGTCGCGAGATTAAACATTGTTCCATTAAATTCTAAGAGCTTTTTCTGCAGTGGGTCCTGCGCAAACTGGCTTGCGACTTCCAGGTTACCAGTCCCCAGCCTTTTTTGAAGAGTGTTAGCCCCTTTTCAATTTCCAGACATTTAGCAGACCACCACACACTAAGATCTGTTAGTAACACTCTATTATATATGGAATTTAACATGGTATCAAAGGAATAATCTGTAAACATTTGTCATGTAGCCAGATTAGCATAGGAAATTTGTATTCATTATCTCAGAAAATATATATGCGAAGCTCAGCCATGCCTGTACAGATGTATATTAAGTACCTTCATGAGAGGCCCAGTCATGCTTCGAAGACTACCAAGATGGGATGTCAGGTTGCTGGGATGACAGATTCCAACTTGAATTTGATTCCAAATTACGTTATTGTTTTCCGCAGAGTCCATGTAGTAGCTTCACTAGACCACCAGGAGTCCTCAGATTTTGGTTGGGTAAAGCTGCCCTAGAAAACACAAACGAAAGATTGCAGTACACTAACTGTACAGCTGCTGAGCTCATGCTTGTTTTTCTTTATGGTTGTATTGCTAGGACGACGACGTGGTGCGTGAGAGCCGTTTCAACTTCTCCGGTTATGGTATGGGTCATTGTCTGCAGGTGAAAGACGGCACCGCGGTAAAAGCACCACCAGCTAACCCTACTCCTCTTCCACCCAAGGATACAGAAACAATTAAAAAGAAGTTTGTCGACAGAGCTAAAAGGATCGACACTATATCTAGGGCTGCCTTTCCTTTAGCATTCTTAATTTTTAATATATTTTACTGGATTACATATAAAATAATAAGACATGAGGATATCCACAAAGAGTAGCTGGCTTTTCTGGGTGGAGCTCTTGAACTTTCATTGCCAAAAAACAAAACAAAACAAAACAAACAAACATTTCATAAATAAGTGAACAATTTCAGAGATCGTATTGCTTCTCGAATGGTCTCCACCTCCTGGAAGACAAGTTCAGCCTCGATGGAAAGCGTCAGTAAACATTGACTGGGACAGTGCAATATGTTTTGCCAAACATTCTCGATGGAAAATGAGTTCTTCCAAAATCTAAACACAGACTCAGACGAAAGTACACAGCTCAGTTAAAAGGGAACAAAAAAGATTAACTCAGAACCTAATTCTATTTTTGTTGTTATTGAATGCTGCAAAATTGTTTTGGTGACACAACATGTTAAACTGTTTTTAGTGATCTAAAGTAAAACATAGTCAAGAATGGACCAAATTTTACCAGATATTACTGCCTTTCTCTTTGTACTACATACTCACTGAGTTACATTCCATTGATGTGTAAGTAGTAAAGGCTAAACAGGGAGTACTTTTTGTGTATTGAATCAATTTAATAATAATGAAAAAAAATAAATTTATACAGTTATATGGTATTTCAGGGGAGCTTATGTTTTAGACTGTTTTTGAAGTTTTGAAGGAAGTTTTGTTAAGATGAAACCTTACATTCTTTAACCAGTACTTACTCTACCCTTGTTATAGCTAAAGTCTGAAATTAGAATACTACCTAAAGGTTTTTGATGATGTGTAATGTAGCTTGTGAATACACAAAATTGCCTAATTTTGGATTTTAGCTGTAACTTTTTTTTCAAAACTACTCGTGTTATTCATAACTTCTGTTATGAATCAGTGCGCTTGCTTTTTCTATATATTTTTTTGCTTTCTTTACAATGCATCTAAAGGTGCCAAACAATGAAAAACCTTCTGTGCATTTTTGCACCACTGTATTAAAATGTCTTTAGGTGGTGCAGTTCAAACTAGCATTGGATTAGCATTCCAGCTACATAGTTTTTTATTGGTGTAGTTGCAATTAATAGCTTTTGTAGGTAGATTTGGTGTAACAATGTTTACAAACTCCAGATTTATAACTCCTTCAGTAACTAACATTTTAAAGAAGACATCAATCTATTTAAAATTTGATCATGTTTTGTGATTGCATATTACGTCAATCCCTTCAGTGCCAACAGTATGTGTTTAACTTGGTTGTATTTCATACAGTATTTCTTACTGAAGAATTTCACACAGAAACAAGAAAGGGAACAATAACATGTAAATGGGACCTGAAAGACATCACAGTGTTACACAGTTTTATTCTCTAAAGCATTTATTTTGAACAGCTCTTCTTTGTTATACTTCAATAAAGCTAAATGTGCAACATGATTTTTGACTGTTTCACTTATTTCCTTTAATATTGTAACTTGTAATCCTACTAGAGATTTGCTCTGAAGTATGTGTAAATGACAGCATACCGTGGCTGGGCCATTCCAGTAGTGATAACAATCATGGTATTATTAACTGCATTTATCTCTTAGTATAGTTTGGAAAATGTCATCATACCAAAAGCTGACTGATATAACTGCACATGCCCGTGAAGAGAGGATAATTGTAGGACAGTTTCACTGAGCTTAGTTTAGGGTACAGATTTCTAAGGACTTCAGCCATGTTGAGTGAAAGTGTGGAGCGGTCCTCAGTAAATTGATGTGTGCATGGCTATTGAGAGCCCATATAGAGTGTTTCACACTTACAGTAATATGAGAAAATTAGAAACCCTGCAGAACCTCAGCATTACTGCCCTGAATAAATCATTCTCTATCACATCTGTTTCCCTATTGAGGTCAGGTCCAAAGAGAGAGAGTTCAATTTAACTTTATTGACGGAAAAACAAAAAACAAGATGTAAAATTGTAAACTTTTATTTACCTTTCCACTCTCCTCACCCCAGGTCAAGTCCAAAGAAGAAGTTGTTTTCTTAGAAAACCCAGAATGAAAGACCTGGGTCACCACTTTACTTGTTAAGTTGTGGTTTTGTTAATGGTTACCATTTGACTCTACATATATTCTACTCGATGTAAGTTTTTTTAGGTTTTAGACATTTTGTTGCTATACTGCAAATACTAATGTGAAAGCTTATTCCACTCAATATTTAGTAACAATCATGATTTTAATGTAATATAGGCTGGTGATTACATTTTCTAGATTGTGTCTACTTCAGATGAGGACTGTGCAGCAACATGAATTCCAAGTACTCTTACTGCTGATGGTCTGACGATCTTTCTCTTCTTTCCCGCTGGGTACAATCAAGCTCTTGTTTACCATCCAAAATGAAGTTTTTTTCCTTTGGGGGGGGTTCTATAATGCTCATGATATTAGCTTTGTCACCTATTCCACTTAAATGCAACTGCTTAGGGACCAACTACTTTGAAGTGCCTGATCCTCTTACCAGTGCAATACATCACATTGATTTGTGATCTCTCTGGGTCACTTACACCAACAAAGATGTGAGCTGACATTACGTTTATCCTAATGCAAGATAATGCAATTCGTGCCAGACCCCAAGGTATCAAAACTAGGAGGCTTTACCTGTTCAGACAAGCCTTGAATGAGAAATGCCAGGATGGGTTTAAGGACAGTGGAGGAGAATTCAGTTAGACATACTAAGAGCCAAATGAAATGGAACCTTTCTTAGCACCTGGGCAGGTATGTTACATTATTCACAATGCGGTAACTGTACCTACAAGGTTAAAAGGATACATTAGCTAATAATGATCACGACTGCATTAATAAGGAATTAATAATTATTTTTAATAATAATTTTTTCTACTGCTACAGTACATATACCTAGGGAGGTGCAGGATAACGACATTTGGGACAGAATTCCAATGGGCCATGTAATCTGAAATAGGTGCTCATTCCTGGTCACAACTGACAAGATCTTATCCTGGATACAGTGTAAGGCAAGATAACACCACAGATGGGATGCCAATTCAACAATAGAACTGAATATTTATAATTTACAGGTGAAAAAGTACTAATAACTGAAGTTTCTAAATGCCATGTCATACTTCTTTTGTTGAAAATGATCTCTCAGTGTTCTATTGTTAAGTGTAGGGTGCCAACCCCTTTATTAAGGTAACAAAATCAGACATCTTCTCAGAACCTGTTCTCCCACCTTCATAGGTTTCCAAAAATCCTCGAGAAATGTCACTGTTTTTTTTCTTGAGATAATTGCTTACCTTGGTGCTATATACAGTAAGATCAACTTCATTATCATTTATTGATAACACACCAATTCACTATGTAGAGGTATCTGTAAATCTTTCCAGAGCTTTTACAGATATCTTCCATTACATTTCACATATCTTAAAATGGCTTTAAGATACAAAATCACTTTTCTCTTTTAGTTATCTAACATTAATTTACAGATACCTGTACATCTGTTTAAAACATCAGTAATTTTTATAGATGATAACCAAGCAGGCCAAAGTACATTTAAGAAGTATTCATTTAAAGGTCTCTCTGATGTGTTGTTCATCAGAAATTATCTGTTATCTATTTGACTCCTGTTTCAGTGACTTTGTGCAGATCTGATTCACTTAGAGACCTCTCCTCCTTTTATTTTAAAACATTAAATTAAAAGATAAAGTTACTTCACTTGTTTGGAAAGATAGGACCCTTTAATAAATTTCTTATTTTGTCCTTTTCTCATTTAGATCTTACTATCAACAGAGATTTTCTTCTATTTTTATGCTATGTTTACATATAACAGAAATCAAAAAGATTTAATAATACCATAAAATATAAAAGCTTGATCTCTGTGGTCACAGATAAAAAAGCGCATGTAAACAACCTAAGCTTAAATGTTATAAACTATGAACTTGTCTATAATTGTCATGCTGGCAATTTAGATTTGCGAGATAATAAGTAACTACTTAAAGTTTCAAACTGTAAAATCACTGCACATTTTGTCATCCATTTTTTAATGTGCTGTATATGTAGAGGAGAAGGTATACATTGACTTTAATTTTAATACTGTAGAAAAGGACATACAGTAAAATGAAACAAACCAAACTTTAATCATAGTTTAAAAAATGTTCAAACGTAATAATAAATTGCCTTAGTGAATTGTTATTTGGCCAAGCAAACATGAAATGCTTAAGCTCATTTTAAATTCACCCAGTCTGTTCAGCTCCCAATCATGAGACAAGCTGCATCACTTTTAGTAATGAATGTGACATAGTAGAGTGTTTCCATGGCAACAGCCATAGCAGGAGTAAGGCAAGACATTTAATCAAAGGTTTAGCTCTTGAGAAACCAAGATTCGTGAACTGGTCAAACAATACATTTTAGCTAAATTCTTTTTTCTGTACCATATGTTATTGAAGGCCTTCATTTGGTTATTGTCCATCTTATTGTGCATCTCAATACAGAAGAATTATTGTACACTATTTAAATAACATTCAAAATCCAAGTGATTTGGGGTTTTCATATGTACTGTATGCGGGTGGGCCAAGTGTATTAATCCCTTGACCTTTGTAGCACCTTCTTTTTAAGGAATGCTTTCAAAATGTTAAAAAATTTACATGCTGCTGTTGCTGCTGAATGTAATTATAAAGGCTTAGCCTCACAAATACCCTGAAGCTCAAAAGTAATAATCACTTCAGTTCAGACAAAAAAGGTGCAGAATTCCTCTGAATTAGTTTTAATTTGATTAATTTAGAGTCTTAATTTACTACTGGGAGCAAATA